CTTTGGTGCCCCAATCTGGGTGAGGTGCTTAGTTCTCAGTGTTTCCATAGCACTATATGGACACATCTATTATTCTCTTACTCTTTTGTTTTCCTCTTCTACTAGACTTACAGTCTATTAGACTGACTGTCTTTGCCTATTTGAATACAACATGTGTCAAAGAGTCGGCATGCAATAAATGTTTGCTAAATGAGTAAGACCTCACAAAAGTCCTTTCATTTGCTATTATTATCTCTATTTAGCAAATGGGGAAACTAAGGGAGGTCCAAGTGCCTTGCCCAAGATCGCATAGCTTAAAGCATCAGAACTAAGATTTGAACCAAATGTTCTGACTGTAATGGAAACGACTTTCCCACAGAATCTTTGCCTTTGGAAAACCATTCCATAAAATAATTGTGATCTGCTTAGTAGTTTGGACGAGGACTTCTCCAGCTGGGCACATAACCCAGGGTTAGCCAATTAAAGGATCTCCCTACCATAAACCCAGTCTGAATGATGAATTTCAGGATGGAGAGTCTACTCAAAGTGTTTCTGGGCACTTTCCTAAGAACTATCAAAAAAAAAAAAAAAAAAAAAAACTTGCTCCTTCATCAGTATAAGAAGCCTACAGACTATGTACCATATAAGAAACAGCAAATGGAGTCAGCTTCTCTGAAAATAAAGGAAAGCAGAAGAAAAATGAAACAAGAGCTAGAAAAAGAGAAATGAAAAATGAGAAAGAACAATGCTAAAGCCTTAAATCCAACCATGCCTAAAGATCTCCCCAAGACACTTTCCAGTTACATGAGCCAAAAATTCCCATTTTCATACAATCTAGCTTGAGTTGTGGCCCTTTGGAAACCTGCATCAGCAGACCAAGGGGCTTTCTGGCCACTTGCCAAGCAATAACACCTGTGTGAATATACAACACTGATAAACTATCTGCAGGAGGCCTGATTTCAGCCATTCTATTCCTTGAGATAATGTATAAAATTTTTTATAACAAAGATAGGAGAACAAAAGCATACAATGTTCTCCAATCTTTACCTTGTCCTTTGTCATATGAATTTTTATATGTGTTCTACTTTATAAGTTAGTGAACAGTGCCTCAAATGAGAAAGAATAGGATGTAACTGGATGTACTCGTTGTCAAATATCTTGGGTATAATAAAAGGAGAAACGTACTTCAGAATCCAGGTCACATCCAGAGTTTGCTCATGGATAAATGTTTTTTCTCCACCCATCATGAAACAGAGCAGAGGAAAAAAATCAGTTCTTTTAGGCCCCTGAATGAGTTCAAGTAAAGAAACCCCATTAGTAAAGTACAGGGCAAGTGGGGGAAGCATGGATAATACCTATTACTTAATATTATTTTAAGTAGAAAATAAGAGGATCTTTTCAAAAATCCCTGTAAATGATATGTTTCTTGGACTTCTTAACCTTTCATTCCCAGCCTTAAGAAGCTACTGATTAATCTGGACTCTGACGAGAAGAACAAAGTCTCACACCTTTGGCTCCAAATTCCCTATAATACATTCAAAGTGTTGTCATCTATATATTAAGGTCAAGTGTAAAACCATAATTTTAATAGCCTAATGAGTAATGGTTAGGTTTACTCTTTTGTGAGCAGAGCTTTTAAGTTGAAACATGGCTTGTACTTCCCTATATTCTTAGATTTACCCTTTTTGTAATCTGAAAAATTTTTAAAGTCTCTCTAAAAATTTGAAGGGCAAGTTCACTATATCCATTAATGGGAATGGCCTAAGGCACATCCTTCATTTATGACTTTGAAGAAGTCATAAATAAAATTCTTACACCCCTCATGACAAACACAGAATTAGATCTTGGAACTAGAAACTGCTAACAAAGGAAAAATGCCAACAATCTTAACAGAAAATCTAGAAAAGAAAAAAAAAAATCAAAGCAACCCAGATGACCCCTGTCACCTCTGATTTCATGCATCGACTCCTCTCCCCTTGGTTCACTCTGTTCCAGCCACACTGGCCTCCTGGTGGAGGCATCCCCGTGCCAGGCACACTCTGTCTCAGGTGCTTTGGACTTGCTTCTTGAGTCTAGAACACTATCTCTCTTGATATTCACACTGCTTTTTCCTCTCTTCCTTTAGGTCTTTATCAAAAGGAACCTTCTCAGTGACTAACCACCTCTTACTGACTGACTGCCTTCCCTACAAGAACACGAGCTCCATAAGGACAAAGATTACTTCTGATTTTTCATTTAAAATTAATAAATTCACTGATCAAAACTCTAGCAAAATTTCAATAAAGGAACATAGATACAAAATGTCAAAATACAACAAATGTTAAAACAATACTCTCATGAATCTATTCATTACAGTACATTAAAAATAAAATACCTTGCAAGTATAAAATAGACTAGGTATTCCTTATTCAGGTGACTAAATATATCTATTGTACTGATGTGGGCAACTAGCTTTATTTACACTAACTAAGGAATCTCAGACTGAAGATAAAGGCAATGGGAGTATTATACAGAAAAGGAAAGTAAAGCAACCATAAGAGAAATGTTACGTCTCTCATGTCTCCTACACGGTGTGGACGTCAAGCTGAGAGCTGGGAAGTCTGCCACTGGATGCTCCGCAGTACAGAAGAGGAAGACAATGGAACAATATACCAGGGAAGACAAGAAGAGCTGAGAGTTTAGGCCAGTTTAGCAAGGGGAAGATGCTGGATACTCTCTGGAAGCATTATCCGAGGGGAAATAATGGACTAGAAGTCACCAACTGCAGGTTTCTGCACCTGGTGTACAAGGGACATGACCACAAAGAGTCAAGGAACTAAAGGACAATACAAGATACCCATAAGGGGTGAGAGCTTCTCCCTATCCAGCTTACAGTAAACTCCCTCAGGCACACCTGGGAAGAAAGTGGGGAGGGGCAGGAGTCTAAGAGAGACTCTAAACAATAACAATTAAAGGAACTACTTACAATTTGAGTAAGACTAAATTTTAAATAGATAGGATTAAAAGTAATTTTTCCACTACCAAGCAAGATACCAAAAAGTATCAGATTATATACAAATTAAATAACTATCTTCTCTGCATATCTGAGTGGTACTATCAGTAAATATACAGAAACATAAAACAAAACCATCAGCAAATATCTGATCACATGTGGGAAAGAACTGCTTAGGCATAAAAGCAGTAGGAGAAATAAGAAAAAAAAAATCAACAGATTGGACCATATAACATTTAAAATTGCAGTACATTAAAAAACAAACACAAAATTAAAAGCCACTTTTTAAAAGCAGGAAAATTACAACAAATAAAATAGAATGAACGCAAATATCCTAAACATAGAAACATTTAGAAGCATTTAAGTCAAGCAATGCAATAAAAATTAGCAACCTAAAACAGACAAATCAAAAAGAATAAACATCTAAAAAACTGTTCAGCCTCACTAGCAGTTAATAAAATTGAACTTTAAAAAATACTACTTTTTAACTATCAATTTTTTTAAACTCTTGTCAGACTAGAATAAGCATTCTCATATAAGAAATTATTACAAACTTTAATGTAACTGGGCATTACGTTATTCTTTCTAATCTCAATATTCCCCTTATGGTAATCTATTTTAAGGAAATAATCAATGATGTGAACAAAGATTTGTATATAAAGAGTGTTTACTACAGCAGTCTTTCTATTAGCCGAAAAAGGGAGAAAGGACAATCTACATAATCAAAATAGGCATGTTTATTGAATATACCTTATGAGACCACATGAAGCATTAAGTAGCCATCAAAAATATTTCTCAAGGATTAAAGATATGACAAATGGTCACTATATTAAGTGAAAAAAGGGTATCATATTGCATATACAGGATATACAAATTATGATATATTCATAGAAAGAAACACTATTCAGCAATGAAAAAGGACAAATCCCAGATATAAACAACATGGATGAAATCTCAAAACAAACAAAACAAGAAAACCATTATACAAAGTGAAAGAAGCCAGACACAAAGTAAATATTGTATGAGTCTATTTATATGAAATTCAACAATGGGTAAAACTAAACTATGATGATAAAGTAGTGGTTCCTTCTGGGGGGAGGGTGTGTCAATGGCAAAGAGGTCTGAGGAAACTCTCAGGGGTAATGGGAATGTCTGTATCTTAATCTGAGTGGTGATCACATGAGGATATACATAGGTAAAAAGTCATCAAATAAAGTATAAATACATATATATATAAAAATAATAAAACCATCAAGATGTACACAAGATTTGTGCATTTCACTGGATGTATATTATATCTTCATAAAGTACTACAGAAATTGCACATAAAGGACAACTTCAATTTAGTTAAATATATTTATATGCAAAGAAAAAAGAATGTAAAGTACATTAAAATAGTAAAGGTGGCTGATTCTGGCATTGCAAATTACTTATGTATTTTTTTTTTTGACCTTTCTGCATTTTCCACATTCTCTACAATGAGTTTTATATGATTTTATATGACTTTTATGATCAGAAAAAAATATAAATACTAAACTTTATTTTGAAACTTCTGTCATGCTTGGAAAAGAAAATTCTGTTACACTTATAACTATCAAGAAGTCATGCAATTTGCAGAAATTCTTAGTAAATCATTCTTCCTTCCAATAAATTTCCTATAAATTACAAACACTCATGTTCATTAATGCATTTAGACAAATCAAGAAAAACACTGAGGTCTGCTTGGTGAATGAATAAGAAAGTCAACTGGGAAGTCAGCACTATAAACTGTGGAATGATTTTAAAATCTGGTCCTGCCTGCAACAAATACAGGGCTCTCATGACTCAATAAAAACTAGTTCCCGAATACTATGAGGTTTTTTAAAATGTATTATTTTAAATACTCCTTGTCAGACTGATTTATCTAAATTCCATGAAAAATGCCCAAGGTCAATTGTATTTACAATGAAAATAACTCTCTGAGTTTCAGAAACTTTTATAATATACATAAAATAATAAATAAGAGCAAAACCAAAGAAGACATACAAACCTCTGATTGTACATGCCCCGAAAGTTGTAATTAGCTCTATGATTTGGGAATGGCTTTGGATCTAATGGCCTGTAGATGGCAGGCTCTCCCCTTTTCATAGCAAGCCCATTCAGTTCCACAGTTGGAGTTATACTACCTGTTTAAAAAAAATATTAAAAGCACACAAGTGAAATATTTCCACAACAAATCATGCAAGCTATATTTACACTACATTTTGTTACCATGGAGAAGGGTGAAGGGTAGATGGTCCATCTGTATCATTTTCTTAGGAAGTGCATAAACAAAGTAAAAGAACGAGAAGATTGTTTCTAATAAAATCTCTGGGGATTGTGCAACATTTTCTATACATTAATAACCAAAAATTCAAGTGTGTGGTCATACTATTAAAACGAAATAAACAGATATTCTTAGATTTCTTAGTTTGAATATTATTTTTGAAAGTACTGAACTTCAACAATACTTACCCGAGAAAGCTTGCATGTGTTTAATCATTAAAAACATTACCTGTGAATATTTTTATTTATACTTTGGTAATCAAATAACTAAACATTAGCAATGAATTCAGGGTCATCAGTGGTTCTTGGACTTACCTAACAAAAAAATTTTTTGGAGTTTTTTTTATAACCAACAAGACAAAGTAAATATAAATGATGCTCTTTGTTGATAACATTTCCTGAAACTAAAATGTCATCTATTCCCAGCAAATCTTAAAAGATACGTACAAGTAGCACTATCGACAAAAGCAAGACTGGAAACAACCTAAACAACCATCAATGTGGCAACCAGTTACATAAACGTCCATGCCATAAAATATAAAACTGCTATAAAAAATGAAGAATATATACATTGCTACCTTGCTTTTTTTTCCCTTTAACTTAATGATATACCTTGGAGGTTACAACTTAGCAGTGTAGGGTATATTGTTAAATGAAAAAAAGCAAGATATCAAAATTTTACATTATCTTCTAAGAAAGATAAAAATACAAATACATACTTGTTTATTTTTTTAAAGAATAAACCTAAAACCAAAAAAGAAGAAAAAAGTTACTTACAGGGAGAAGGCACAAACAGGAGAAAATGGAAGCTGAACACTGTTTTATAGATTTTATTTTGAAAACATGAACATTTTTACACAATTATAAAAAATAAAATTCCATCAAAATGGAGGGTACAGGCCGGGCGTGGTGGCTCACGCCTGTAATCCTAGCACTCTGGGAGGCCGAGGCAGGTGGATCACTCAAGGTCAGGAGTTCGAGACCAGCCTGAGCAAGAGCGAGACCCCGTCTCTACTAAAAATAGAAAGAAATTATTTGGACAACTAAAAATCTATATAGAAAAAATTAGCCGGGCATGGTGGCACATGTCTGTAGTCCCAGCTACTCGGGAGGCTGAGGCAGTAGGATTGCTTGAGCCCAGGAGTTTGAGGTCGCTGTGAGCTGACGCCACAGCACTCTACTCCAGGCAACAGAGTGAGACTCTGTCTCAAAAAAAAGAAAAAAAAAATGGAGGGTACAACGCCTAAAATCAAAAGTAAAAACTCAATCTAACCGCGAACTGAATTGGTGACTTAATCACAGAGAGAACTATTTCAGATGACTTTAAACACTATAAAATATCCATAATGAGATCCTAAAGAAGATTTTAAAAAAAGGAAATCTTAAACTATTTTCAGTAATCACACTGTTAGTAACATGATTTTAACCAGTAAGATGCTTTTGTTTAATTCAAACAAAATTAAATCAAAATGGGGAGAAAGTAATCTCTAAAAAGAAAACAAAGTAACTAAAAGCTAACAGTGAATCAAACTGGTGGCCTTAATCATACACAGAATAATTATTTCAAATGACTTTAAAACACAGTAAAATACCTATATATCCTGAAGAAAACAAAATCTGCAAAGAAATTGTAAACTGTTTTCAGTACTACCATGCTGTTAGTAATATTGGGTTTTTTATTATGAAATTATATATATATGGATTTGTATGAGCCAATAGTGAAAAAAAATTATATATATAAATAGATATAAAATAGATTAAAGAAAATAATTATATTCATGTTAGAAACCAAGATTTTTAGCATAGAGAGAGGCGAATATAAAATCAAATACATTAAGTAAAACCCTAGAGTCTTAAATTTGAATTGAAAATACCAGTATGAATTCATGATTTTATTTTCTCTTTAAAAAGAGTACAATATTTCCTAGCTCAATCCAATTAAGAGGCCTATAAGCAATGACCAATCCATTAGCAATGAAGACAGCCAGGATTCAGAGTTTGATTTATAATTATCATTTCCCAATTTTAAAAAAACAATGTTTCTTGGGGAAATGGCTGGTTCCAGATCTGGATATGATATTGATAAATAATGGGAAAGAACCATATGATACTCATAAATAATGGGAAAGAACCAAGCAATTATCTTGCCTTTACTGAATAAACTATACTCAGAGCAAACAGATGATGAGGAAAAAGTTCCTCTCCATTAGCTAGAAGAATTCCAGCTATCTAATGCAAAAGGAATGACAACCCCCAAAAATCACTATTTTGCAACTCCTGATTAAAATAACGGATCTTCTAAGGCAATGAACATCCATAGGCTGCTACAACCATTAGGTCAAATGTTGATGGGGAACTTGATAATGAATGAAGGCTAATGAAAACTGAACCCACTGATCGATTTTAAAAATAAGAGATAAGAAATTAAGTGCCTTCTGCTGTCACGTAGTAGGATGCAGACAAAACTACTTACAAAACAGTCTTGCCAAAAAATTCAAACCTAAATCTACCTGGGTTACCAGTTTACAAGAAATACAGAGGATAGGCAAATAGGCTATACAACACCACAGGTATACACTCCGCAAAACCAAGAATGTGGAAATTGTACAGGACAAATTATGTTTTCTTTAACAAATAATCTATATTGAAAAACAAAAGATGGAAAAGGATTCTATATGTTAAAAGAAACTAAAGAGATATTATCAACCAAATGCAATAAATGGCCCTTGTTTCAATATTTATTTGAATAAACCAACTATGAAAAAATTTAATATTAAGGAATTATTGTTTTGAATGCTGGATAATGAAATTGTGGTTAGTTTTTTTTAAGAATTCTTATCTTAAAATTCAGTATGTATCTTAAAGATACATTTATGGATGAAGTGATATATCTGAGATTTGCTTCAAAATAATCCAGGTGAACAGATGAGAAACAAGATTGGACGATGGTCATCTGTTGATAATTGTTGAAGCTGGTGATGGGTACAGGTGGTGTTCACTACCTTATTCTCTCTACTTTTGTAAAAGTTTAAAAAATTCCATAATAAAAAAATATACAATGTAAAATTATATCAAGCTATTTTAAGTACCAAGAGGTTATTTAGTAAAACATATGTATGTATGTTCTAACAAATCACCAAAATAAATATAAAGCTTTTACAAAAAGCAAAGTTCACTGTAAATTCTATAATATTTCATTTGAATTATGTGTTCATACCACACGTTTAAGACTCCACTCATTACATACAAAAATGAGTCCACTTACTATAGCAGAGAAGTTGGGGCTGGCATAAAGAACCAGCCAAGGGATGGTAAAGTCTGACACAAACGCGCAACTGGCATCCAGGTTATGAGAAATCCATCAAGAGTCAATAAACCACTTGTCTCATTTCTAAAGAATTAATGTGAAACCAATGAAGAGTGTAGTAAGAACAGAAACTAAATCAAGGTTAAGAAGAAGGGAAAGCAAAAAATAAAGGAGTAATGAGGAGGAGGAAAGGAAAAAGATAAGAACAGCAAAGAAAATTAACCTAATGAATGGTAAGTCCAATTAGTCCAAATTCCTAATTTCATACATACATTTATGGCAAAGAATAAGAAAGTCAAGCATAAAGGGATTCTCTTTTCTTTCTTACAGCATTTTACTGAGAGATAAGTTAAATGCACAAGTCTTAAGCATACAGAGCTCAATGAATTATTAACGTAAACACTCATGAGCACCACTCAGATCAAGATATGAACCTTTGCATCACCTAGAAAGTTTCTTCAGCCTCTTTCCAGTCAATACCCATCTCCCCAAGCTACCCATTCTGACTTCTGTCAGCATAGATTAGTTTGCCTGTTCTGAGTATGTACTGTTTCCTATCTTGTTTCTTTCCCTTACACAGTAATTTTGTTAGATATCTCAGTATTTTAAGCTTTTTTAAATCACTGAATAATATTCACTAAATGAAAACGCCACAACTTGTTTATTCTGTTGTTGATGGAATATCTGTGTTGTTTCCAGTTTGGGGCTATTACGTGTAAAGCTACCCCGAACACTTTTTAATAAGTCTTTTAGTAGACATATATACTCATTTCTCTTGAGTACAGGCCTAGCAGTAGAATTGCAGGGTCATAAAGTAGGTTTATGTTTAACTTTATTAGAAATTGTCTAACAGTTTTCCTAAGATTTTTTTTTGAACTCCAAAGAGTAGTTTATGCCTTTAAAAGTTTGAATTTTAAATTTCATAAAGATTTCAGTTTAATAATTAACATGTTAATCAGCTGCACAAGATTTGTGTCACTTTGAGTTCTACTTTGCAAAAATCATAGTCACAAACAGTATAAAATTCACAAGGGGAAAAAAGGGAAAACAAAAAGCTTGAAAGATCTTATCCTTTAAGTAAGATAATAAGAACCTAATGTGCTTGATAATCACCAGTGAGGTGATCTGAATGCACTGGTGAGATACACTATGTCTGCCACCCATACCATAGATTAGATTTTAAAATATGTAAAAGTGTTATATTCATACCATTTAAATAAATAACCTTATATAAATTCCACATTTGAAAGCAAGACTACAGTATACTGTCTTCATAGAAACATTAGAAACTGGTCTTTGTGAAGGAAAGTAGAAAAGAAGCAGAAAAGCACAAACAACATGGAAAAGTTTCAACTCCTGGAACAAAGTATCCCCATCTCTTTTATACAGAACTGCACTGACACCCCCACACGTGCACACTTTCTTTACCTACCCAGTAATGCTTCCACAGAAAAGATTTTCAGAGTAACTTTAAAATATGAGATGCCTCCAGGTAATACTAAGTACTGCTGTTTCTAGTGTGTGAGAATTGGACCCAGGTTTCATAAAGATAAT